CGCCCCAACACATCTGAGTCTCCCGGGCAGTGGGACGTGCCATGAGTCCACCAGAGGAACCGCGCACGGGACAGCTTCACCAAGGTCCTAATTAGTCCTGGCCCCACACATCCCCGTATTCAAGAAGTCGGGACCTCCCTCGCTCCATCCCTCCCTCCTCTTTCCCTTTGTACATGTACCAATACACACATATACATCTACATGCGCGTCTCCACATGAAGTAAAGGCACTTCAGGACCGGGATTGCATGGACGCCAGCATCATGCAGCCGTGCACTTTGGCAGCGGCGAGAATGTGCAGAAATTCTGGGAGTCCCGAGCCGCTCAGCTCCTCCCTTGCAACGTCCAGGCGCTGCGAAGCCTCAACAGACGAAAAAGAAAACATGAGAACACCTACAAAAGACTAAGATACGCTGTTGAACATAGTAATGATATAAGGATGGCTGTGGGTTAAGGGCCTAGAGCATCGTTTTGAGGGTTTGGGTTGATTCATGGGTGTATGTTTGTAGGTTGGCCTGGGATTGTGCAGAACACGATCTGCCAACCGTGTTTTGTCTATGCTGAGGGTAGACTGTCGGATTGCAAGCTGATATCGGCACGGCAGAGCCGGGGAAGAACAGGCACATGAGATAACCGGCAGCTGTTGCAGCAGTACCAGCAAAAGCAGCATGCAACGACTGTACGACAACAGTACAGGTTATGAGCACGGACACCTCTCCATGAGAATCTTGGCGCCATGAGGACGTAAGCCGTTAAGTCTAGTGTACGCATCTGGAGGAAGCCTGTGAGCGTGTCAGCTGATGCTGCAGCCGGCACTGCGCCAGGTGGACGATGGCCTGTTTCAAGAGGATTCAAAAAAGAGCCCCCCAAGCACTCGCTGGCGGAGACACGGCTGCCGCAAGCAACATTGAAGAGAATCCACTCTAATAGCATCTTCCAACCTGCAGTATATAAAGGTTTGTAAATGCTGCCTCCTCGTAGCTGCACGGCCCGCCCGAAAGGATCACAACCGCCTCAGCCCAGCGCCGCCCGGAAACGAGGCCCGCGAGGCGAACGAAGGGACAAGGGTGGAGAAGCGTTCTGAGTCTCACTGGGCTTCCAGGCTGTGAGTTCCAGCAGTAAGCAGCTGGTGACGGCCAGCAGGGTCGAAAACTGCATCGTTCCGTGCACAAGGGTGCAAAGGATCACCGCCCTACAAGACAGACCAGAAATGTAACAGGGGAGACCGTTTTGAGGCGTAGCTCCCGTAGCTGTTGCTTGCAAAACTCGCTAGGGATGGCTTTCGACGGGACCTCCATGAGGCAACAGCACAGAGCCAAGACGGTCACTGCAGAGCTGAGGAGGACGTGAAAATGGACCTGGCCGCTGACAACCCGGCCACGCAACGGGCCATGGGATTTGCGATTTTTGTCGCCTCCTGCGTGAAGAGCCCCAGCAACACTCGGCTCCTTCGGAGTTGTACACTCGGGTGTAGAGTTCGTAAAGGGGTTGAACAAAACTGCAGCTCAGGCAATGACAAAACAAGGCTCGCGTAGAGCGGGGAAGAAAGCAGCAGCGATCCCTGGACGCAGCGATCCCATGGAGCCTGCTCAGAGAAGACACGACCTGCCTCGAAAACGAGGAGGGCCGCAACGTGCGATGCATTAACAATGTTCAGGGCCTCGGCGAAGACATGTATCAGAAGGATGTGTTAAGACACATCAAAAATCAAAACGTAGTTATGGAATTGCTGGTGCTGGCTCTGCCTGTGTCTGGTTCTACGTCACTCGGTGGCGAAGCTCAACCCTGGCACATCTCCAAGTATATGCTGCACCCGAGGCGGCCTCACTTTTGCTGATAGCCTGGTGTTCCTCCCCGGGCCGAAAGTTTCGAGCTACATGTGTACTATCTACTTGTAACATACAGGCTCTTGCTACTCCGCAAGAGTACCTCAAAGTGTCGTTTACCCTACGCAAGCTAGCGGAGTAATAATTTAAACACGCTTTAGTTCTGGAGGAAGCCCCAGGGCTCACATGTGTTAGGAGTTTATGGGGAAGAGGGTGGGAGGCTGGGTATTGCAGCATGTTCGAGCTAGTGGGCGAACTATTGGCCCGGCGCTGTACTCACGGGCAGTGCTCACTGACAACGAAGCCAAAGCCTGGTTTGAATGTACGATCGCAGTGTCTTGAGCAGCGGGCAACCGTGCGCGAGTCAGTTCGCGTATCTTCGACAAAGACAACTGAGCACTGTTTTGCGGACGTGGAAGCATGTCAAGGTGCGGTGGTAGGGATGTCGCTGTAACCCGTGAATCCGAAACACGTGTCTCCTGAGTCTGAATTAACCATTTATTGTCCATGTTTGTGGTTTCTTTTGGATACAATTTGCGTGTGTGACAAACGGAATTATTTTTTGGCAAGCGCTCTGCGCTGAAACCTCCGGTGTCTAAACATGATCGGCGCGCGAGTCTCACCGCCAGCTCTGGTGGGTGCGTCGGGATTCAGAGCTGTTGATTTTCTGTTCGGGACTTGGGCTTTTGGGCAAACTTTGCATGTCTAGACAATGGCAGAGCTGTGGGGATCATTCAGCTAAGATGAGCTCAGCTAGTAGACTTAACGATCTCAGGGCTGGGCCAGGATGACAACAGACAGGTGCTCAACATGTAGTTTCCGGAGCACACCGTGCTTCATCCTTGCAAGGTCCACAAGAGCACGTGCTCAAAAACAGGTGGAACAAGGGCCACAAAAATGAGGACAGGGCAGCACTGGCCCAGAGAGGTAAACGAGAGGAGCGAAGGCCAGGACCGGATGGATTCCTCAGAGCAGGCGCTTTCGCTTTCGAGGTCCAAGTCAAGTACACTCCGAGGTAAGGCCGGCACCAGACCTCCACAAGGCCTCGCAAAGCTGAGCAAACAGGATCCAAGCGCAAGGCTTCTTGCAGTCAATGGGAACAGTCATCGGGGCCGTTGGCTCTCTCTGGAGTCTCAGCGCAGCACCAATGCCCAAAGGGACAGAGTCGCATGTGTCGCTGGTGTAGAGGCCACGCGCAAGAAGCGCTTTGCGCAAAGCTCCTGGTATGGTCACTCCACAAGAGCAACAAAGCCCTGCAAGATTGATCCGTGAACTTGGAGCTTTCACGTCCATTCGTAAACTAACGACCATACCCAGACCCGGGGGCACCTGCTGCGTTTGCAGCCGCGAGTGATGGATCCAAGGAGGCGCATCACGCTCCTGTGGAGGAAGGGGAAGGCTCCGTTCTTAGAATCCTCCGACTCGCTCAGAAACTGGAAGCTGAAGCTCACAGTATCGCAATCCTCATCGTTCAATGGTTGCCATGGTAAGTCCATCCCATCGAACGTGTGGGGCACACGTTTCGGGATTGTGCTCGGGTGGTACTAGATACCGTTAGCTGCAATCATTGTTGAGTTCAGCTTGAGACCAAGCTGGTCGGAGCAGTTGCTGCAAGGTTGCCTGAATCTCTACTTGTCCTTAAAGGCTCACTGCGGCAGTGCATTCAAGACATGCCGGACGATTCGTGACGGCTGGGTGGACTGACATATGTCTGGCCAGAGGCTCTACAGGCTGTAGGTAGCCGAATGCAGAGAGGGTGGCAGCGAATGATGCTCTGCTCAGGAACATGCGTGAACTCAGTTGAGCTCGCTGTCTTTGGCGCGAGAGCTTGCAATGCTCTTGAAGGCCATAGGGTATGGCAAACCCTTGCTTCGAGAGCATCTACTCACTCTCCACCGGCAGTCGCAGCTGAGATGTCAAGGCAGCGGGGGCCCCTTGTTCCAGGTGCAAGCATCGAAACTAACCCTGGGAAAGGCGCTTCAGAGCAATGCATCACCAGTCCTCCACTTCGGAAGCGCAGAACCGCACAGGCAGATTCCCCAAGTTTGCTGCACCGGTGCTTCGTTCCACCCTTGCAGCCCTGGCTGCACCCTTCACCGGCCTGGATCATGGGGTGACTGTGCGTCGCTCAGTATGTCCAGAACCTGCGCACTCGGCATGCGAGGGCCGACTTAGATCGGGGTGGGCATGTCCCTTGATCTAGCTTCAGGCTCGTCCTACACGAACAATGCGATTTCGGTGCTGAAACGGATGATAAAGCTCAGAGATAAACGGCACAGTGCCTTCAGACAGTGCAGCAACGCTCCATCCTCTTGCTGAGCCGGATGTTGCCTGAGCTTCGATGTCGCTTCCGAAGTCAATGCTTGAAATATTGACCTGTCTAGTACTATGCACATGGTCCACACTGCGCGCGTTCACTGCATGCTCCCTGCATTCAGGAGCTTCTCTACTTAATGCTCTCAAAACCCTCGTGCTTGAAAGCGAGACAGGCCTGGTACAGCCAACTCCGGATACTGGACAGCATGAGTGAGGTTCGCTGCCAGTTCCTGTACTTAGTGCCCAGCATCGGCTGAGCTTCCTTGCATTTTCGGAACTTACTTTGGATCTCGACGAAGTCTACCTGCGAGGCAACCAGGGCAGGTGCGATGTGGGCTCGGACTTCAAAGTGCACCTACTACTCGGGAGTCGCATCAAAACCAGTCCAATGTGCTTTCAGTTTCCCCGCACCAGCTCACAGGTCTGCCACTGACTCCCCAAGATCCTGGGCTACTTCTCGCACTCCTCTAGTGCATCTCGCACATGGAGCTTCTGTCACTCAGTGACACATAACTCCCTCTACTTGTCGGAGATGCTTGTCATCTCCGATCCATCATGCTCTGCCGGAGATGAGGAACCCAGAAAAATGCATCCAGAAATTTTGATACACAAGTTAAGAATAAGGCATCGGGGTTCGCCACTGCTGGGTCCCTGACACATGGCAGATAACAAGAATTCAACAATGCAATCGAAAGGTGTTCTGTCACTGCAATCCTTTCATGTACAGGCAGCAACCAAGGCCGGTCATATCAACTACTGTTCAGCGATCAACGCAAATCCGTGCAGCGAGACTGTCAGGAAGCACTCAACGATGCAAGTAGAATCAGAAGATACAATCCGCTGTCAGCATCTCGGATGCTCAGGCACGAAGGCTTCTTGACATGGCCACTGCCTGTCGCATGCTCTTGCGCTCCGAAACACTCGCATGTAAAGATGTACCCCTGCTGTACCCTGCGCCCTGTGCTGTTTGGTCGTCGCCTGCATGAACATCGTGAGCTCCGACGGCATTCCGACCTGCTCTGCTGGGGGTGCTCCGACCTGCCGAAGAGTTCGCCCACAGCTCTGAGGGAACGGGTACGCGAGCAATGGAGGGTCTCCCCCAGACATTCTTGCGGACCTGCTGCGGCATGTTGAACTGACAGTACCTCGCTTCGTCCTTCCCATGTGCGTCAGAGCGACTTGAACGAAAAGCAGAACAATCTCACACGGCGCAGGGTTTCCTGCGGCGGAGCCCCACGACCCGAATCAACATCGACCTGTGCCGAAATATTCTGGAGGCATGGACTTCCAGCGAAAGCACGGCCCCGGCTCACCTTCCGATGCTGCGGCTTTCGCTTGTCGCACTTGCGCTGCTCTACGCGTGGTGTCTTCCTGGAGCACGAGCGCCAGTCGTGTTCTTCTGGGTTAGCACTGCTCGACGTTAAAGCTCCTTTGGAGAATGGCATGGTTTCTCGGAGCATCGCTCTTGTACAAAATCATGGCAGTTCGAAGGAGACTGTGCGAGACTGCGGGGGCAGAAACCTTGCGATGTAGCAGCTTGGAATTACACATGAAGACCAGGCTCCTGCACTCAGACTTCGGTGTCGCAGAAACTTTCTTCTTGACGGCCATCTGCTTCGGCACCATGCCCCTCCAGAGTGTACAACGTGATGCTGCCGATGTGTACCAAGCCCTTAGCAAGAGCGACTGACAGCCGCACCTGCCAGTTCCAATTTTTGCAGGTACCTCTGGGTCAATCTTCCGAGATACCTGGACACAGAAGGGATCCGCATTTGCTGCAAAAGCCCCCACGGCCCCTCACAGCTCACCTGTTGCCGATTCTCCTTGCCCGCAAGCTTTTTCGGCTTCTCTGGCGTGCTCCTAGCATGCACCCGAACCCGTGGTTCGACAGCAGGCCCTCTCCAAACACGGGAGGATGTACGGATCGTAAACTGCAGCTAGGGCCAGGGTCCTGCGAGGCTTGGGTGACACCGGAATTTTCCTCTCCGCTTCCGGCCTGCATGGCAGCTGTCGAGGCTGGTCCCTTGCGCTTATCGCTTCCCGGTTCGACAGCTGGTCGGGCTAGCTTTGCACTCCAAAACACTCAGGTCGCAAACACCAAACACCGGACAGGCTGACAAGAGTCCCGGCACCTCACACTGCCTTCTTCAGAAGATTCGTGCGTGGTCATGTCCATCGGCACCTAGCAACGCCAGGTTTGGCGACTTCGAAAGACAGCCTCCCCGACCTCAGCTCCGAAACCTTTCACTGTTTGCAGATCGGGCCTGCGTCCCTTCCACAACCTCGTCCACCTGGACAGCTGGCAGAGCATCTCAAGTGTGTTTGACACATTGTCGCTCCTTGTCGAAGTCCTCCCGAATCAGAGATGGAATTCGGAAGCTGGCACGCGCACACCTTGGCGCACGAAGCAAACGTCTTCAACGTGTCATCAGCCTTCGCTGTACGAACACTTCGAGGCCGTTGCAGCTCCGGCAACAGCTCCTCTCAGGACCGAGCTCGCTCCCTAGATGTTGTGTCAGATTCGGGTCCTAGAAGCCTACTGCGGGGGCCCGATTCTCCCGAGTCCCTCTACAGACCCGTCGGCGGCCTCGATCGGGCCTCCGCCGCGCGTCCCCACCTCAGCAGGAGAAGAACCGTGGAATCTTCGGACTTGGCATGAACTGCCGCCTTGCCTGTGCCTCCACGAATCGCAGCTATGGCCTCTCTGGCCTTTGCACTCAGCTGCCAGCTGGCGGTGCCACAAATCGAGGATCAATCTTGTCCACCTGCGTGAACTAAGGTGGTCTTGCAAGCACTCAGAGAGATCACTTCATGGGACCGGGCACCCCTGCCAGAGCCTTCGTTTCTTCCGCATCTGGTGCACCATGCATGGGAGCATCCAAGAAGTCGCTCAAGCGAACGCCAGGCTTGTCCTCGAAGCCCACATTGACATTTTTGCTTTCTGCGGGACTACGCTTCACTTCGCCTTGTAGAAGTCCATGGCCTCTTTTGGCGGCAGCCCGTAGCGCCTGGATCCGGCTCTTCACACTCTGCGTGCTGTCGGAGTACTTGCCTAAGTGCGCTGACGCCGCCAGCGCGCCAAGTGGAGCGAGGACCTCACGGGCATCAGTGGCTCCTCTCGATTTAATTTGGGGCGGATCGCTCGATTAGGCACGCAGTCCGCCTCACGCAAGAGCCCAGTCTTGGGCTGAGCTGCCACATCCCGCTCCTGACAAATGACAGCCATACAGCCATACATCTCCATGCCACAACCCAAATTCGCTGTCTTCGTTTCGGGTTTATGCCTACAACTTCGCGTAGAGCTCGCCCTTCTACATTTCTCACAGCAGGCCTTCATCTTCCTCTGCATCCCCGGCTGCCGCGCGGCACACAGCTGAGATCCAATCTGCTGATCTTGCTGCCGTTTCTCGCTGAACGCATAGATGCAGATGTGTGCTTCGGTCCCCCCATGCCTCTGAATTTGAACGCTCAAAGTGAAGCAAGCTGCTCAAAAATCCTGGTCTGTCGTAGACACGATTATCGATCATGGCAGAAGATGTGGAAAGGATCGGCTCCGAAGCCAAGAGTGCGTGGGAGTCGTTGCATTGGCCAAGGACTCGAGAGACCAGTACCCAACATAAGTGAGTGATACGGAATGATTACGTATTACGTATCCTATTCGGGTTATGTTAGGCCAGAGGCGAGCCGGTGTCCCCTCTTGTGGGGCCAGTCAGGTCAATGTGGGTTCGAGAAGCTCCAAATTAAAAGCCACAAAGCTGCTCGCGCTTCAGATCTCGAGTCTCAGGATATCTGCACCATCAGTCTGCTCAGGCTCAACACTTGTTCGAGTCATGGAGATTGCCACTTCCGTTCGAAAGTAGTACTCTGACCCTGCGCTCTTGGAAAACGCCATGCAAACTGTAAACTGTACCATGTCGCCTGTACAAGGCAGGATGCTCGCGATTGGGACCGGCCTCTGTGTGCTGCAAGAAACCTGCAGCAGAAAACTCGGGAAAGGCGCCCAAAAGGGAGCCCGTCTTCTGGTTGAAGCTCGGGCTGCTGGGCCCAGGCACTCAGAGCAGCGGCTCAATTCCGGGAATCTGTAGTGTTACAGCTTCCGGACAGGCCGCTCGATCTGACGCATCGCTTTCTGTATCCGGGGCGATCGACTTTCTGAAAAGCCCGACACTAAATCTATGCATGCGAGACGGATGTGACGGATGTCCTTTGCGAAAGCCGATAGCCCGCGGCATAACAGCCTACAGCTTTAAGGGGCGGCGGCCTAGGCCCTCTTGGCTCAGGCCTCCTCCAGAGCTGGTACGAGTGTTTTGGTGTCCACTTCATCTATGCTCAAAGCTCCTTCGAAAGGACCCCCCAGCAAAGGAAGCTCGGCCCAGTGTCTCCAGACCCTACCGGCCTTCGCCGGAGTCCAGGCCCTGAGCATGCTTCCCTGACTTCCCTGCCTGCGATTGCCGCGGATTGTCAGTCTTGTATGGCACACGGCGGACAAGAAGAATAGGCGATTAGGCTGCCTGTTCAGCTTGCTGAAAGTTCTCGGCCACAAGGCTGAGCATGGAGTAGCTGAAGGAGCTGCCTCAGATCACACACGGACCACGGTCTTAAGTCTGAAGGTCGGCCAATCCCAAGACATCTTGGTCTCCTCGCTTCCAACATGCCCTGTTCCAGACCAGTCGGCAACGAGGCTGGGGAACCGCAGATCCTCGCTTTGCTAAGCTCACAAGCAGTCCTCTCCTCTCCTCTCCTGCTGCGTGCCTTGCTGGGAACCAGCTCGTCCCAACGCCACTCGAGCAACTTCATGTCTGACGTGCGGAGTCGCGATAGGGGTTGCTTAGCGCATGCTTCATGCTTCCCTCCAACATCTCCAGACAGGAAGAAAGCATACCGCAGGCCTTTCCAGAAGTCAATGATGAGCTTGGAAGCTGATGGATCCCAGCGCCACTTCAAAGTGAAGTTGCCTGAGGAGGCGAAGTGCAGGGAAGATTCGGGAAAATACGTCTGACTGGGACAAGTCCGCATGTCGAAGCTCAGTTTGCTGTTCCCTTTTCTGAAACACGCCGGAAATCCCAAGCTCCTTAGTCCGTAAACCAAAAGGTTTCCAGTAAGACGGTGTTCCGAATTCCGAAATCATTCTTTTCCATAGCCATAACTGCTAAGACAATTCTGACTCTGGGTCCCCGAGCCCAGAGGAAAGAGTGGCTGATCCTCTCCGGGCCTGTTCGCTCATGCACGTCGGATCCTACTAGTTCTACCGTTGTCTCTACTTGCAGTCAGAGTCAGACGCATGCTTCGGCACGCGACTCGTTTATCGGGACTTACACTGCCGGCAGCCTTCTGAAGCCACCGTCTGCTGTGAGGACCAAGCTGTCCAAATCAAAAAGCCTGCACAGGATGCATCCATTCGGATCTGCAAGAGAGGACAGAGACACGGGGAAACCACGCTCCGGATTGCTTTTTCGCCAGATCTGGAGCATCGATGGCGCTTCTCACAATCGTGAGATGCCAGCGTTAACAGTGGCCAAAGCTGCAGAGAAACAGAATGAAACAGATGCTGTGGTGTCTGCTGAAGGCTTCCCAGGATCTGCATCCTGCTGGCGTCACGGCGTGACTACGGAGATACAGATATTTGCGAATGTGCGCTGGGCTTCCGTCCCTGCAAATTAAATTCCGCTTTGGCTCAATCAGACCCCGTAGCCGATTCTTTGTGGCAAAGAAGTCTGACATTGGCAGATAAAGGCCAGTTTTCGGCCCTTGCATGGTTGCACTTTCTGTTTCTGGACTTCGCCCAGGAAACGTCGTGGCTGATCTACGGCTGCAGGGAGGATTGGACTGCGGGCTTCAGGTGCGAGATGACCCTCAGATGAAGCCGCGAAGTCCCGGATGCCACTGCTGCCGCTAGCGGCTAGCAGCTAGCAGAGCGCGCGACGAGACAGGCTGCCTTGAGAGTTTGTGAGGGCTCTTGGTGGGTCCGTAGACAGCGATGCACTTGAGAAACGGACCCTGCGCTAACGTTGAACCGAGCGGCATGGTGGTCCGTTGTCAGATGTCACCAGGTTTCCTCGTAACGACAGTACAAGGGCAGAGCAAAACTTGCACCACGCCATCATGTCAAGGCTGCACTGCTAGCCAGCCCTAAAGCCTGAGGCCATGGTGACCTACTTGGACTGTCCGGTTGACTGCTGAGGGAGCGTCCAGTCTCCTCAGATGAAGGTGAGCACTTTCGAAGCTGCAGCACTCATTTCACAATCTCACGAGAGGAACACTGGCTCGAGGCCTCAATAACCGAGCATGCTTGGAAAAAGACTGCCATTCCCTCCCGAGGCTCCGGATTCAGCTTCTCTGCGAACCCCTGCAGTGCAGGCAGCACGCAGCTCTCATGGCTCAGCCAAGACTGAGGACGCTGCCTTCGAGAGCACTGCGCCATACTCCACTGTGGAGTCTGCTCCGGCTTTGGCCTGGATCAGCTTCAAAAAGTGGAGGGCTGGCTTGAGAGGCATTCATCCAAGCGGCCAAGAGGTGCTTGATATTGTGCCAAGCAGAGACACCTTGCTCCGAGGCTCCATGACTGGAATACAAACTCTGCACATCGGTTCCGGAATCTCACGGACGAAATACCGCGATCATCCGCGATCGCATCGCTTCCGATTGGGCCGCAAACTGCTCTCATCAATGTTGTTGACTTTCGAGCGTGGCGTCGCCTGGACCTCGTGGAGTCGCGCGCGCCCTGTCTGCCGAGTGACTCGGAAAGCTGAGAACCCGGCTCTGACTCGCGGGCCTCGCAGGGTGCATCGAGTCTAGTACAGCAGCTTTGTACCGGCAGGATTTGAGGAGGAACGGTCCCAAGCATACACCGCGGGGGAGCAGAAACCTGGCAAGTGCTGGCCTTTCATCTGCGCCTTGAGCTGCTTGAGGAGCTTCAGCTGCGCTGCAGTAGCAGCGGAAGCCACGGAAGCGGCCTGCCGAAACAACATGGGGTTCGCCGAGGTGATTTACTCAGGTGTCCAATTCGACCTATGTGAACCGACTGTGCTTGGAGATGCAGCGTCAATGCCAACTCTTGCTACCTGCTTCAGATTTAGCTCCGATGGTGCCTGCTCCGAGCTGGGCCTCTGGTCCCAGGCTCTGGCCTCTTTGAAGCCTCTCAGACAGTCTGCACCGGTTGCACACTGCAACGCTGCAAGTAACTGCGACATCACGGAAAGCCGTCACGCATCTTCCGGCTGGCCTGCTAGCAGTGAGCTGGCTGCCTGGCGCGTCCGCGCATCTTCCGTGACGAACCTGAGACAATAAAGCGCTGACAGCAACCCTGTGACTGCCACACTGCTACACATCTGCTACACCAATGCACCGCTCTCATGGCACGTACTGGTGCACCTCTGCACAGATGCAGCGGTGTGGACGAAGTCAGAAACCTCTCCGCAAGTCTGCATCCATGGTGAACGGTTCGGTTGTTGGTTTTCGAGGGCCCACCTGCACTCGTCTTTCCATCGCCCCGCACGGTGAGCGAGAGCCTGCCCAGATCTTACGCTCTCAGCACTTTCGAAGAATGTAATGCATGTGGTGGCTTTTCTCTTGGCCTGCTCTCGAAGAGGAAGGCGGTCGGCTGCGCAGGCGCGCTGCGCTGCCTGAGCGGAAGCCCTCCGCCATCACCAGCTGCAGACTCAGAAACTATAGCACTGCAACAAGCTGTGGAGAGTTGCTACGAGTGGCGATTCTTGGCCTCACATGGCGAACTGGGCACTTGAGCTGGGCACCATGTGCGCTCGACGTCTGCCTCGGAGTCGCAGGAGTCTTGCCGTCACCTGGCGGAGCATTCCACCGACTCCTTAACTCAAACAACCCGCGGTGGTGGCTGCAGAATAATGAACCATGATTGGTCACGCACGATAATAGAAAAGTAGAAATCTGCTAGTTATTGCTCCTTGTATGCGGACACGAATATGTGCATGGCAATGAAACATGATAGATCATGGCATGTACTCCTGTAAAGACCGACGACACAGGTAGTGGCACCTATGTAAGGTCTGATCAAATGAACCCTCTGGAACTTATCCCTGGTTCAGGGCTCGCGAAAGCGATCTGCGCGGAACAGAATCCCAGAGGCAAAGCTGGAGTCAGCTCAGACTCGAGTCCGAGAGGCTCTTCTCGCCAGGGCTACCAGAGCGGCTCACCCGGAGGCCTTGTCGAAGGCCAGTTTCCAAACTCTCTACTGAATGCATTCAAGTCTCGAGCTGCTGTCATGCCGAGGAATTACCCCATTTCCTACATTCTTACTGCACGGTGGACTTGTGCATAACTTGCGCCCGCACTCTGTGGTGACCCTGCAGTGTGCCAGCGCTGCCCAATTTCAGGTGTCGCGGTACCTCCAAGTGTCAAAGCAATTGTGACCCCACCCTTCATCTGAGGAGCCGCACATTTCAGACGATCCCTTGTGTCGTCGAATCATGGCACAATCATGGCAAAGGCTAAGCACACCCAGGCTGGACAGCATGCCAATACTGGATCCGGGCGGAAACCAACTCCACCGCGGATGAAACACATCTTAACGCGGGCTTAAGGGAAATATGAATATTAGGGGCATCTACACCTCAAGAAGTGTAATGTGGGAGAAAGTGAAATAAGTCGAAGCAGAACCTAACAAACCAAAACCTGATCTCGCTACTACTCCTGGGAGACACCTGGCCTGAATGTCGGCCGCGTGCGGCCGGCGGTGCGTCTCGCTCGAGGTTGGCTACCTGATCGTTCTGATGGCACCAGCAAGAGAGCCAGCGAGAGATAGAGAGATAGAGAGAGAGAGAGAGAGAGAGCGAGAGAGAGAGAGAGAGAGAGAGAGCAAAAGCAAGAGCAAGACAGACTAAATTACGTGAACACACATGGAACAGCTTTGCCTGCGCAGAAATGGCCGGAAGGTGCACCGTCTCTGTCACCTTCCATGCAGGCTCAGCCCTGCTGGGGCCCAGTGTGTTCGGACAGCTTCCGGCCTCTGGAGTGCAACATCGATGCCCGCGTGCCTTCAGTTCGCTGTTCGATTCGCCTGCAGCAGGGTCTTCCAGGGCCGCCTTCCGGTTTTCCATCCCGCAGGGGCCTCGAGAGGATGGGCGCGCTGATGGCATCCTCAGCACAAAAAACACCGAAGCGGCAGTTGATCCTCGCAGAGTCTTATGCTGCTGGAGAACGGTGGCCGTGCAGGGAAGAGCTGATCGCTCGTCGGCGGCCCATCCCACAAGGACCAAGACAACGGAGTACCTCCCGATCACAGCAATCTCAACACTACAGAGTTTGAAAATGCACATCTGAGGAGCAGCAATGAGACTCCACAACCTCTCAGACACGCATGCAGCTCACAGCACAGCAAGCCATGCATTCGGGCACTCTCTGGGAATGTTGGTGACCTGAGACTGATCGGCTCGCAACAGCGGCCAAAGTCGCCACTTCTTGCTGAGCGATGCACTGCTCGACCGCAAAGGCAGAGAGATCCCCAGCCGCAGAGTCTGGCCTCTGAACAGACAAAAGTCTCGCCGCTTGCCTCCTCGGCCGCGTTGGGGCTGGGGCCCGGGCGACACTTCGGGCAGCTCCGTCGAGTCCGAGAGCCTGCGACTTTCCGACTTCCCGACGGGGCCGCTCGGGCCTCCGCCTCCGCTCGAGTGCGCTCCGAGGCTCCGACGCGCTGCCGCCTGAGGCGGAGCTCAGGTCGCGGTCGCCTTCGCGCTCCGCCGCCGCCGGGCCGACGCGCACCCAGCGCGGCGCCGCCGGCCTGGTCTGGTCTGAAATCCGTCGCAGTGCCGCAGCGACTGAGGCGTGGCCTGAGCAGCGTCTCGTCCAGCGGCACATCCAGATACTCCTGCAAGCGAACCGCCCGCACATGCCACTGCACGTCGACTGAGAGCAATCTTTTGCCGTCTCCGCCTCGGCCTGTGCCTGGGCAGATGCTCCAACACCAAAGCTGGAAGCCTTCCGGGGCAGGCACGCTCCGAGATGCTTCAAGCCCTTTCTTTGGCACCGGTCACTTGAACGAAGGAAGAAAGAAAAAGCTGCAACGAAAAGCAAGTCCTCGTTGCCTTTACACTCCCATTGCTCTTACAGGCCCTTGAAAAGCGCCGCTACCATCGCCGCCTGCATGGAGAGATCCGCGTGCGACTCCCGCTCTGGTGGCCTGGTGCAACTCGGTCTCAAAAGCTGTCACGGCCACATCTGCAGACCAAGAAAAATAAGACTGTACTAGTAGGCCCTGCAGCCGAGTATCGGTGCCACCAAACGCCAGCCGTCGGGGAATTTCGAAGGCAAAGCGACGCTCAAGGGCCGATTTGTGCTCGCCGCACTCGGGGGCCGAGGTCGGCTCGGGCCCGCACGGCCCGAGCCGATCTCCTCCTGTCAGGGGGATT